AAACTTTTTACATTGTTAAAAAAGGTATCTCTAGATTTTTGTTTATACTTGCTATTCTTGTTTGTCTTTTTATATAAACTGTATAATCAATTGTCACTCAAAGGGAAAAAATACCTGACAATATTTTTATTAGGATTGTGAAACTTTTGTAGAGACTTTGGGAGAATGGCATATTTTCTTTCTTTTTTTAAAATTTTATTATTATTTTTAAATCCTTACTGAGGACATTTTTTTTTCATTGCATTTAGAGAGAGAGGAAGGGAGAAACATTGATTGGTTGTCTCCTGTATGCACCAGGACCAGCCCGGATGACATATTTTTCACATTTAGTCTTTTTATCCAAGACCACGGGTATACATATTATGTCTTGCCATTTATTCAAATCTACTTTTTATCTTTAAAGAATGTGTTATGTGCTCTGGCCCATGTAGCTCAGTTGGTTGGAGCATCGTCCATAGACTGAAAGGTTATGTGTTCAATTCTCGGTCAGGGCGCATCCCTAGATTGTAGGTTCTGTCTGGTAGAGGTACATATGAGAGGCAACCAATTAATGTTTCTCTATCACAGTGACATTTCTCCCTCCCTTCCTCTCTCTCAAATCAATAAGCATGTCTTCAAGTGAGGACAAAAAAGAATGTTTTATGGTTTTCTTCATACATATTTTACACATTCCTTGTTAAGCTTCAGCCTATTTATTTTACTTTGTATTATAACCTTTATAAGTAAGTTTTCTCTTCCGTTATATTTTTAAACTGCATGCTATTTGTATGTATGAAAGCTATTGCTTTCTGTACATTTATTTCCTGCTAATTTACCAAATTTTCTTTTGTTTGTAGCAATTTTCTCATTGCTCCCGTAGATATACCATCATGACATTCATGCGTAGAGATAGTTTTACTGCATGCTTTTCAATTTTTATGTTTCTAATTGTTTCCTCTTATCTAATTTTGGCCAATACTGCAAAGTCAATGCTGCAGTTATAGTGAAAACTGTGAATATTCTTGTCTTTTCTCTAGTGACTTTACCAGGAAAACCTACAGAAATTCCAAATTAAGTTCAGTGCTCTTTTAAGGCAAAGGTCTATACATTTTATTACGCATTGTAGGTATCACCTTTTATCTTATTGAATGTTGAATGTTGTCAAGTATCTTTTTGATATCTGTGAGCATGACTGTATGATTTTTCTTTTTGATTCTGTTAAATTGATGAATTAATGTTATCACTATACTAATATATTAATGAATTTACTAATATCCACGCTAGCCCTCCTGGAAGACGCCCCACAGAGAAGCTTGTTTCATTCAATCTGACAATCTTCGCCTTTTGCCTTTCAAGTCTTAGACCCACTTACAACTAATCTAATGAGTTATGTGGGCATAGCTGGAGTCTACCATTTCGTTATTCGGTGTCTAATCATCCCCTGTTCTTTGTTCCTCTTTACCTTTGATTCTGTTTTCTTTTGGATTCATTGAATAAATTTAATGCTCCATTTAATCCCCACTATTGGTTGAGTAGTTATTCATCTTGTAAATTTTTTTCGGAGTTGCTCTATTATTTACAGTATAAATCTTCAAATGGCCTCTGTGTACTCTCAAACCCCACTAAAACACTTCATGAAAAAAAAAAGATCCTTACAATAGATATTTTCACTTACCACCTCCATCTTCTGTGCTATTCTTATCATGTATTTTACCTGTACATTTGTTATAAACCCCATAATACAATGTAAACAGTCAATTACCTTTGAAGATGTTAAAAATGAGAAAAACTATGTTTTACATTTATCCTCATATTTTATAGAGCTGTTTTTCTGGTTAACAACGCCATTTGCTAGGAAGGAGACTAAATTCTGCCAGTGAATCTTTTACTCTATTTGGGCCAGATATAAATGTTTTCATTTCCAAATTATTGTTGTAAACCAGAAACGTTCCATTAATTTTGTACAGTTTTGTACTTGGGGGATGCTTCTGGTCTCCATCAGTCAACAACTCACACACGAAAACATTGAGGACATCTCTAGGGGCTAGAATCCAGGTTTACTGAGGCAACCAATTGATTATTGAAACAATGTACAACCATTCACTTGCTCAGCTTCTCTCTGTTCATTCATTAGTTAGGCATGAATTAATCATTAACTATGTGCCCAACTCCAAGTGAGCTACTGGCACTACAAAGAAAAAAAAAAAGTCCTGGCTGGTGTGGCTCAGTGGATTGAGTGCCAGGCTGTGAACCAAAGGGTCACTGGTTCAGTTCCCAGTCAGGGCACATGCCTGGGGTGCAGGCCAGGTCCCCATTACGGGGCACATGAGAAGCAACCACGCATTGATGTTCCTCTCCCTTTCTTTCTCCCTCCCTTCCCCTCTGTCTAAAAAATAAATAAATAAAATCTTAAAAAAAAAAAGTCTTGTTCCTTCCCTGGAGGATCCCCAGATATAGTAGGTTTTAACTAGAAAGAGTGAAAGTAGCTTTTAAAATGTTTTAATCAGTGTTTTCCTCCTCAGTGCCTATGGTCATTTCTCCCATAATTCTTTGTACTCTAAGTTTTATAACTTGGTAATAATTGGAATAATATCAAATTGTTATTATGACAATAATAATGCAGTTACCATCTTCCTCATATACATTTTAATCATTTCTTCAGGACAGCCTTCACACCCTCAGGACAACCCAGTGAAGTATGATTATTCTGATTTTACAGAGGAGAAAAAGAGGCTCAGAGAGTGACTTGCCCAAAGTCACAGCTACTGAGTGAGTGATCTGGGACTGGATTTAATCCAGGTCTGACTGACTTTGGACTACCCATTCTGCAGAAACAAGCAGAAAAATGTTGGAGCAGGGTTTCTGTTTCTGCTTTGAATCCCACACCAGAAGAATCTGAGCATACTGTGGGTGGTAGAGAAATACTTTTGAAAGAACGAAGAAGAACAGAAACAATCAACAGTAAAAAGGCAACCTATGGAAAGGGAAATAATGTTTGCTCATCATGCAAGGGGGTCCCACCCAAAACTGGAATTATCTTCCAGAGGGTGGGCCCCTTGTAGTACAGACTTCCCGGGCTAGGCAAGTGTTCTAGGAACACATCTGTGAACCAGCTGGCATTGTTGTGAGAGGCTGCATTCAGCTATAGTGCATTTTTTTGGAAGACTCTTTTAACTGTTTGCCCATTTCATGATGGGTGATTTCCAAGTGCACCTGCCCACACAGCACTGAGTGTTCAGCAGTTTTTGACCAAAACCGGCCTGACCCCTATGTCCCACCTTCCCTACGCACCTGATCTTGCCCCAAGTGACTTTTTTGTTTCCCTGCATGAAAAAAAGTCCTCAAAGGGAAACATTTTGCAGACGTGGAAGAGGTGAACCAAAAAACCAGCAAAAGCACTAAGAAGGCATCAAAACTGACAAGTTCAAAAACTGTTTTGAGCAATGGAAAAAAAAAGTCTTGATAGGTATATTGCATCAAATGGAGGATATGTTGAAGATGAGTGAAGAAATAAACAATTTTTTAATAAATAAGTTCTGTTTTTCTGGTGGGTCCCCCCTTGTGTATTTGATAAGGAGCTAATATACAGACTATATAAATTACTAACTCCTACAACTCATCACCAACAAAACAACTTGGTTAAAAAATAGGCAACAAATGCAAATACACATTTCTCCTAAGTAGATATACAGATGACCAATAAACACACAAAAAGAAAAAACAGAAAATAACAAGTGTTGGTGAGAGTGTGGAGAAACTGAAACCCTTATGCACTGCTGTGGGAATATAAGATAATGCAACTGCAATGGAAACCAGGACAGAGGGTCTTAACGAATTAAACATAGAATTACAGCCCTGGCTCTCGTAGCTCAGTGGACTGAGCTCGGGCTGCGAACTAAAGCATCGCAGGTTCGATTCCCAGTCAGGGCGCATGCCTGGGTTGCAGGCCACAGCTCCCAGCAACTGCACATTGATGTTTCTCTCTCTCTCTCTTTCTCCCTCCCTTCCCTCTCTAAAAATAAACAAATAAAATCTTAAAAAAACAAAAACATAGAATTACTAAATATGCTAAATACATAATTACTATGTATAAAACAGAATTACTATATACTATATATTATTATATATTATTATATATTTAGTGAATATGTATATTCACACTATGGGTATAAACCCAAAAGAACTGAAAACAGGACCTCGAAGATACATACACACACTCCTGTTATTGCAGCATTATCTACAAAGCCCAGAAGAGGAAGCAACCCAAATGTCCATCAAGGGATGAATGGATAAAGAAGATACGGTATGTGCATAGAATGGAATATTCTTCAGCCTTAAAACGAAGGGAATCCGGTCACACGCTATAATACGGATAGATTTTGAGGACATTATACTAAGTGTAATACGTCAGTCACAAAAAGCTATGCTACTTATATGAAGTAGCTGAAGTAGAAATGTAACGGCTGTTGCCAGGGCTGAAGGCCAAGGGGCCATGAGGGCATCTCTCAGTAATGCAGAGTTTCAGTTTTTCTCTTTCTTTTTTTCTCTTTATTTATTTCTTAAATTTACTTTTATTGTATTTTTCCATTACCATTTGTTCCCCTTATACCCCCCTTCCCTCGCAGTTTTTCGAGATGAAAATATTCTAAAGATATGTTACATAGCACTTTGAATATGTTGATAGCTAACGCTTCTGAACTGCACACTTAATGGTTGAGATAGTGAAACTTGTTTTTTTACAGTTACAAATAATTTTTTAAGAACGACGAGGAGGGCAGTCCCGTGGTGCGCTCTACACGCCTGAATTTATTTAGCTTAAAAAAAAAAAAAAAAGGAAATCAACGAGCCTTCCAATCACAGGATGTCGAGTTACAACCTGCCTTTTCCCACACTAGCAACGGCCTCGAGGATTAGCCAGGTGTCGCCCTCGCCCCAGCGGCTCTTGCTCCGCCCCTTTCCCCACCCACCTCCCGTTCTCCTCCAATCAGGTCCTGGCCCCGCCCCTGCCCCGGTCTCTTTCCTGCATCCGGGCCTAGGCGACCGGCTCTGAAGCTTTGCTAGCGGCATGGAGGTCCACGGAGAAACCCAGTCCAGCCCGACCTCTTCTTCGCCCCCCAAAGATGGCTCTGGGGTCTCGGTGTCCAAGGAGTTGCTGACGGCGGGGAACGGCGGCCACGGAGGTGACGGGCAGGTGGCAGCGGCGTGGGGCGCCCACGTGCTGGGTGGGCACGCAGCTGGAGCAGCCGGGCGGACGGCAGGTCTTCTGCCCAGGCCCGGCATCCCCGAGTGGAGTCCCCGGTGTGACCGCAGGGCTCCGGCGTGCCCGCCGCCGCGTAGATAGCGGTTGGAGTGCCTGGGCCGGGCGGCGGGGCCCGGGGAGGTTTTCACATTCCGCGTGGTATTGAACGCCAGGGCTGCCAAGCGCTGCCGCAAGACTCCTCCCCTAAGGGGAGGACCTTAGGGGTCGGCGTCTGGTTCCGAACACTTGGCGGGTTCCCTGGCAGGTAACTGTTAGGTGTTACCCCGCCTCGGCCTCCTCCTCCCCTCCATTCTCAAAGAATCAGCCCTTAGGACCGCCCTCTTGTAGAAGGAGACTTGGGTTCAGGGAGTCCGTCCACACGGGATTTCAGACACCGTCATAGAAAAAGAATATCATGAGTTCGAATCCCAGCGCTACGATTAATTAGCTGTGGGACTCTAGGGGAGTTTCTTAAGTTTTCAACGCCCCAGTTTTCATATTGGAGAAAAAGGAAGTGGTAGTACTTATGAATATTTGTGAGAGAATTTAATCTTCACAACAGTCCTGTGCAGAAGGTTCTGTTATCTCCCTGTTATAGACGAGGAAACGCTTATGGTGTAACATGCAGATAATTAATTTGCCAGAGATCATGTGGCTGGAAAGGAACAAAACTGGGATTTGAGTCCAGTCAGTCTGTATCTAGAGTCCAAGCTCTTTACATTAATCCAATCGCTAGGCCTAAAGTAGTAAGCCACCAGTCTTTGTGGAGCTCTCCTTTGTGGATGAACAGGATTTTTGTATCCGAGTAAAGAGATTTTGCAGGTATTAGAAACAGGGTGCAAAGCCTTGACTTGGACTGATTCAAGGAGTGGTGAATGATGAGATTGAATAGACGGGGGGTGGGGGGACAAAATTTCTCCAAAGGGCGTTTTATTTAGGTTGGGCATTTTAAATGAAGGGGAACTAACCAAGCAGGCGTGTTTTACAAATGAAGAAACGAATACCCAAAGAGGTTAGGCAATTTGCCCAGTATAACATAGCTAGTAACCAACTCTGGCTTCACTTAGCCATTATACGTAATCATTGTTGTACCCTGTACCACTTCCTGCATTCTGTCGCTGCACCTGCTTTTGTCTGGATTTCTGATCCAGAAAGGTGCAGTTTAAGGTGCACTTACTCCACATCAGTGACACAGGGATGTATGAGGCAGGCTTAAGAAAGGGGACATGGATGTACATAAAGAACTAAACTGTTACAATGAACTTGGGGTGCTCCTCTTTTTAAAGGCATTTTGGGAAATGTGGGATGGTCAAGACTTGGGAGTGGTCACAGAAAGATTGCTGATGGGCTCCTGTTTCTTTATGCTGTCGTAAACTGAGTGCTGTGTGTGTCTGTGTGTTCAGGTATATGGGACAGATTGCTCATCAACTCCAAGCCTGATTCCAGAAAGAATTCCACTCTTCAAACAGTTCGGATAGAGAGGAGTCCCTGTGAGTACCCTTCCCCTCTCTCTTCCTCTCTCTCAAGAACCCCCTCTAGATGTTAAATTCTGCCTAATTAAGAAGTTATTTGATGGGACTGTCTCTGCCTTCATGGTCAGATATTAAACCACACAGTCTGGCAGAGAAAGTCTTACTTGGGATTCGCATTGCGAAGTCTGGGCACCAGGATAGGGTTTCTTATGTATTCTCCTGCTTTTTCCCAGATAAACTCCTTTTGGGATGCATTTTTGGAAATCAAAATTAATTATTGTTAATCTCTGTGGGAAATTGTTTTAGAGGCTACTGCCCCAAATTATAGGACATTTTTTTAGGATGAACCCAAATTTAATACACATGCATGAGAAAACACCACCAAACCTCTGGTCAAGATGGCGCTGCAGGCAGACATGACTTACCTCTTTGCACAACTACATCAAAATTACAACCAAAATACAGAACGACCATCACTCAGAACCATCAGAGAAAACACTACCACATTCCATTGAACTGGACACAATTACATTGTAAACGATGCATGAGGTTATTGCGTGTATAAACTGAGAAACTGTGAGTGTTCTGCAAGGGGAACTTCACCGTAGCAGATACTGAATCTGCAGCAGCCAGAGTGACTGCGCCGTGGCTCTCTGCTCAGATGCCAGCTTCTGTGTGCACGCAGGTTTTTGTGTTGCTGGTGGTGGGTCGAGGGGGGTGGAATTGTTGGGTCATTTTGGAGAGTGTGTTTTTTTGTAAAGAGGAAGTTGCCAAACTATTTTCCAAAGTTGGGTGTACCGTTTTGCCTTCTACCTAGCCCCATGCGAGAGTTTAGTCGCCTTAGTTGTCCCACACCCTCGGCTGACACGTGGTTGGTCTGTCTTCAGCTATTCCAGTGTGTGTGCAGTGGTATCACGTTGTGATTTCAGTTTGTTTTTTCCTGATGACTAGTGATGTCGAAGAGCCTTTCATGTGCTTTCTCACCACTTACATGTTCTTGGTGAAGCGTCTGTTCAAATGTTAGCTCATTTTAACAACCAAGTTGTTTATCTTACTGATAAACAACATTTCTTATAGTGCAGGCCTGCTGGTGATAAGTTCACTGGCTTTTGTATATGAGAAAACACTAATTTTGTTTTCGGTTTTGAAAGATGTTTTCAATGTATGTAGGATTCTAGGTTGACAGGTTTTAAATTTTTTAAATATTTCAGTATTTTAAAGATGTTGCTCTGCCGTCTTTTGACTTGTATCGTTTCTGTTGAGAGGGCTGCTATTATTTTTGTCGTGTATAAAATATTTTTCCCCCCTCTGGCTGTTTTTAAGATTTCTTCTTTATCACTGCTTTTCACAATTTTATTGTGGTGTGTCTTGTAGCTTGCTTTGTGATTCTTGAGCTTGGGGTTTGATGAACTTCTGGAATCTGTGGATTTACAGTTTTCATCCAATTTGGGAAATTTTTGATTATTGTTTTTCTTTGGATATTTTGTTGTCCCTCCCTTTCCTCTCACCTTTCTGCAGGGACTCCAGTTATACATAGTTTTGCTCTTCGAAGTTGTCCCACGTTTCACTGCTACTTGGTTTGGTTTGGTTTGGTTTTTAGTTTCATTTTTGTGTGTTTCTTTTTGGGTAGTTTCTATTGCTGTGTCCTCAAGTTCATTAATCTTTTCCTCTCTGTTGTCTAATCTGCTGCTGAATCCCATCTGTTTTGTCAGATATTGTAGTTCATATCTCTAGCAGTCTAGTTTGAGTCTTTTATTTATATCTTTCGTTTCCATATTGTGTTCATGCTTTTCTGTGCTTGCTTGACTATGTGGAGTATTTATAATAGCTGTTTTAACATTCTGACTGCTTAATCTGTCCTGTGTCATTTCTGGATCTCTTTCTCTTGTTTTTTTTTTTTTTCCCCTACTCTTTATAGATATGTTCCTGCTTGTTTGCATGCTTGGTGATTTTTATTGGATGTTGTATATTTTGGGTTTTATGTGTTGTGTGCTGGATTTTGTTTTATTCTGTTTAGAAGAACTACAGCTGGATTGGCTTCAAGGGTTCAGCGTGTACTGGACTAGAGTACCGTGGAAATAAATATTGGACTTCTCAGAATTTTGGTTCCTACCACACACATAGGCCCTTGTTTTGCTCCACATGGTCCATTAGTTAAAAACCAAAGCAGAACAAAATGTGGCCTCATACTTGATCGGAGGTAATAGACGGAAATCTGCCCGCACATAATGTCTTTATTTTATTACTTTGTGATCCGAAGGGGAATGAGCAATCACAATTATTCACGATTTAGTATGTGCCAGACATGGTGCAGTGCTTGGTATGTATGTGACCTCACTTAATTCTTCCAGCAGCCCTCTTTTACGGTTAAAGGCCATTTCTTCATCTTGATCACAGTTTTCTTTTCTTTCATACTCTGGACATTTTAGTCCCCTGTTGTGTAGCTGTACCAGCGACTTAATGTTTTGAGAGCTGGTTACGAGCCAAACCCCTTTTGAAAGAGAAAGGAGCTATTGTCCTTATTTGCTGACTCCCTGTTCATAGCGCCATGCCTGGCAGGTATGAGCCCTGTTTTACAGGTGAGTGAACTGAGGTTTCAAGTAGTTAAATTAAATGTGTTAGTTATGAGTTATTTTTTTAGAGAAGATTTTATACATTTTTAGAGAAGGGAAGTGGGGGCAAAAGAGAGGGAGAGAAACATCAGTGTGTGGTTGCCTCTCACACACCCACTAGACTGGGAATCGAACTGGTGACCCTTTGATTTGCAGGTCTGCACTCCATCCACTAAGGCACACCAGCCAGGGTGTTGTGAGTCATTTTGTTGGGGGGAAGAACAGTGATTCCGGGTACATCTGCACCCGGTGCTCATTGTCATCAGCGGGCTGCTGCCCTGCATCTGTCAGCTGTCCTCTCCTAGGCGCTGGCTTAATCTAGAGCAGGCTCTTCCCCCGCCCTGGCAAGTCGGCCAGTGCATCAGCAGCTCCAGCCTTAGACTCGGCCACCAACCCACTCACGCCGAAAGATTTTCCTTCTCAACAGTTCAGACCGTGGCTCAGGGTGATCTCTTATTGGTCTGAGTAGACAGATCCCAGTGTCACTGTGGGTGCCACCGAAACAGCTCGTGGTGGCCAAGGTCGAGGAGCGTGTAGGCACACCCCGGGTGGGGACAGGAGTGACTAAGAGGGACGGAGCGTAAGAGGAAACTCAGGCCCCAGCCGGGTGGTTCTGTCGGTTGGAGCATCATCCCATGCGCCCAGAGGCTGCGAGTGTGATCTCTGACCAGGGTCAGGGTCAGGGCACTTACAGGAGGAAACCAGTGAATGCATAAATAAGTGGAACAACAAATCGATGTTGCTTTCTCTCTCTCAAATCAATAAATAAAATTTAAAAATATATATAATAAAAAAAGAAAAAGAAAATTTGAACACTGGCCAAATACTAACATAAGTCTGGATGAACTATGTTTTCTCTCCTTAGTGCTGGACCAAGTACAGACCTTTCTCCCACAGCTGGCTCAGGCAAATGACAAACTAAGAAAAGAAATGGCAGCTGCACCACCTGGTCATTTCAATATTGAAAATATCGATGAGACGCTTGGAAAAGTTATACAGATGGTAACTATGCTTCCTTTTCATCTTAGGTGGTAAAATTACCAGTGTGCCTCATCGCCTAAAAAGAGAGGGGACTTTTCCATTTTAATTCCACAGTTAGTTTTCTTCCTGGAAAGTCAGCTCATGTTCCCAGTACTGTTAGGTACTTGGTCATTTTATGATTAAGGATCTTACAGGTCAGTAAGCTTCCCTGGCTGAAATTTAGGGGTCGAGTAATGCAGAGTCATAGGGAGCGCTTTTCCAAGTCACTTGTTACATTTGTTATCTTGAAGCATTAATTCAGTAAATGTTCTAACTGGGTTTTGGTTTTTCCCCATCCAAGGCCCAAAGAGGTAATAATAGAGTCTAATTCATTGAGTATGCAAAAATTAATGATATGTTTAACAGAATATATTATATAAACCATGTGTGAAAAGGGTCTCAATTTAGGCTTATGTCTTATTTCTACACTGGAAATCTCTTTATAACAGTGTGTCTGGACAGAGCTGACCCCATTGTTAATAATAACATCTAATTTATCAGCAAATCTGGTCAGTTCTACCTGCACAGTATCTCCCAGATCCAACCACTTTGCGTGAGTTCCACTCCCGCCAGCCTGGTCCTATAATTACAGTCTCCCCTTTGGACTGTGGCAGTGATTTCCTAACAGGTCTCCTTGCCTTCTCCCCTTCTTCCCCGGAGTCTGCTCTTCACACCATGTGTGACCCACAGTCTGGGGGCCAGGGGGGCTTCCCAGCCCATTTCTAGCAAAGTCAGAGGCTCTCTGGGGCCTGTGTGGTCCTGCCTCCAGCTCCGGCTGACCTTGTCCAGCCCTCGCATTGTCTGCACTCCAGTTTCGGCCCCTGACTCCAGGCCGTTTCCCTCCTTGTAGAATGCTCCTCCCCGATTGCTGCTACTTGGCTCGCTTTGTCTCTTAGCAGTTGTCACCTACCTAAGAGGCCTTCCCCAGTGGCCTTATCATTACCTTTTCCTGCTTTCTTTTTCTTTTTTTTTTTTCTATCCTACACCATGCTGAGTATGCAATTGTTTAGTATTGTCTTTCTTTCCCAACTGGAACGGAGGCCAGCAGACATTTCTGTAAACGGCTGGACAGTGAATACTGCCGGCCTCGTGGGCCGTGCTGTCCTGTCCCAACAGCCCGCTTCTGCCCTTGTAGCGTGAAAGCAGCTGCAGGCGATACTCAGTGAACAGACAAGTTGTGTTAACTTTGCTCATGCACACTGAAACTAGAATTTCATATAATGTTCATGGTTCATGAAATATTGTCCTTCTTTTGATTTTTTCCTACCACCTAAAAATATAAAAGCCATTCTTAGCTCATGACCTAAACCAAGACAGGTAAGCAGGTCGGGTTTGGCCAGTAGGCCCCCAACCCCTGCTTAAAAACGCAACTTCCACCAAGGCAAGGATTTTGTTCTTGTTGAGTCTCTAGTGCCTAGTTTGGTGCCTGGCTCATGTTAACAGTTTTGAATGAAAGAGTATATTCGGGACATACACAGCTGGGTGATGGGGGTCTCTTTAGACTTAGAGTAAACGTAAATTATTGTGGTGGACTCTGGCAACTAAAAGAATAAAAGTGCCGTATTGTAATAAAAACATGTCCTTTGTGCTTCAATATTGTGCTAAATGTTGGTTGTTCCCAATGTTTTATTGCGACTTTTTAGGGGAGCTGCCCTGCAGTAAATTTCCCATACGGTGTGTTTTGCAGGATGTGGCCTTGTTTGAGATGAATCAGTCTGATTCAGAGAAAGAGGACAGTTCGAAAGAGAGTTCAGAGGCCAGTTCCGAGGACAGTTCGGAATCTGAGGATGAAGATGACAGCACGTCCTCTGAAGTCACCATAGATAACATTAAGCTTCCTCACTCGGAAGATGGGAAGGGCAAGATAGAAGTTTTGGACAGCCCTGCCAGTAAAAGAAAGAAAGAGTGAAACAGATGATCTCAGAAACAGGTGATCTGTGCCTTCTGATTCTGAGAAAAAGAGTGTGGCTCGCTGGTGGTTTTGCATTTCAGGCGTTTGGTGGTCTTGTGATTTCGGACGTGCTTTGGTTCTCGGAAAAACAGAAGCTGACTTACATTAAAGAGTTGGAATAGGTACATTTGGGGATCTGCTAAGAGCAGACTGTCTTTGATCTCAGGCTGAAGAGACTTAGTTTAGAAAGCCTAACGTTATTTTTGGTGATAAGTAAATTTGTTGGCATCTTTTTTCTTCAGCATAAACTTCAGACATATCAGACTGACTTATTTTTTAATCTTCACACATGGACATTTTTTTTACTACTTTTTAGAGAGGGAGGAAGAGCAGGGAGGTGGCAGGGGGAAGAAATATCCCTGGGAGAGAGAAACATCAATGGGTTGCTTCCTCTATGTGCCCTGAGTGGAGATCAAACCTGCAACCTGTGTATATGCCCTGAGCAGGAATTGAACTCACAACCTTTCGGTTTACTGGATAATGCTGTAACCAACTGAACTGCACCAGCCAGGACTCACACTTATTATTGTTTTTTTTAATCTTTCCTTGATGGTGATTTTTTTTTAACTTTAATTGTTATTCAAGTACAGTTTTCTGTCTTTTACTCCCAGCCCACCCACCCAGCCCTCAACTCACACTGATTTAAAGTAAAAATACAAATCACCTATTCATTTTTGAATATCATATCCATATGCAAAATAATGCCCTGGAATACAATAATTGGTTTTGTTTCTAAATATACATAAATTAAAAATTGAATTAAAAAATTACAACGAAAGATTTCTTCCCTAAAAGTTTGGTCCAAAAATGTGGTTGTGCATTATACATGAGAAAATACAAATTACGGTGACTTTTTACCTATCAAATTGGCAGATGGGACTGCTGAACCTTTCCATGTGTCAGTGCTATTCTGAGTGTTTTCCATGTGGGTTATCGCCATTCGTACACCTGTAAAAATGCATCAAGTTGTACACTGAACATTTGTGCACTTCGTGTACGTTCTACCTTAATATAATAGCCGTTTTGTTTATGAGCAGTTTGCCTTACAGTCTGTTGGGAAGTAAGTCACCATTGTGCTTTGGCTGGTCCGGCCCTGTGCTTTCTCTGCCTGGCGCTTGGGTGAGAGAGGATGGCAGCCGTTGGGAGAGCGGCTCTGTTCCTGTGAAGGCTGACGAAATGTTCTCTTCAGAACATTTCATGGGTTGTTATGTCGTCTATGGCTCTGCGGTAGTTATATATCAGAAAATTAGGTGTGATGGTCTTTGAAGCAAAAATTTCATTCCGAAGGAATCTGCCGTCTGTCTGTTCTCATCGTACTTTAATTATGCATCAAATACGTGCGCACACGCACAGCAACGCCTTGCAGGCTGTTTGTAGTTGTGTTCTTGTGCCTGTACCCACTGTTGTCGTAGGAAAGACAAGAAAAAAGTTGTCGTACTTTCATTTGTGTTTCCCTCGGTGCCTGGTATGTATATATATATATACAGTGCCTTTCACTTGGCTGGAATGTACAATAAATAGTCATTAAACTAGTTTTTTCTCTTTATGTCAATAAAGTAATTCACTTTAAACATAAGTAGTTTACAGTCTTAATAAGCGGGGGGCAGGGGGGGAGTAAATATCATTGGTAAACTTTTCCCAGAAGTTTAACATTGGAATCTATGTGGTTGATTTGCCATCATCCATTCATGGAAAACCCTTAGCAGTGATTGGTTTGGGAATGGGCATGGGACATGAACCTTCCCAATAAGACATGAGCAAAGTCTTATTAGTGGACTGGGAAGGGAAAGTATTTCCCATTCTTAAAAAGGAGGCACATAGCCCTGGCTGGTATAGCTCAGTGGATTGAGCGCGGCCTATGAACCAAGGGATCATAGTTCGATTCCCAGTCAAGGCACATGCCTGGGTTGCAGGCCAGTTCCCAGCAGGGAAGGCACGAAAGGCAACCATACATTGATATTTCCCTCTCTCCTTCCCTTCCCCTCTAAAGATAAATAAATAAAATCTAAAAAAAAAAAGATTCTCTTTAAAAAAAAGGAGGCACATAAAGAGATGGTTTCTTCTTTCTGGAGAAAGGACTGGGTATCATATTACTGCATATGATTCCCGGGACTCGCATCTGACGGCCATAAACAGAGCCAACTCCCGAAGGTACAGTCAGCACACAAGGATATACACAGAGAAGAAGGAGCATCATTGAGTCACTGCACGCATACCTGTGGATTGAACTGTTGCTGAATTTCTTATGACAACAAATTTCCTTATTAAAAAACAGAAACGCCACCTTATAAGATACTTAAACCCATTCCACAGATGAGGAAATTAGCATGGAGATGCTAAGCAGATTCCTAAGGCTTCACAATAAGTAAGTGTTGGAGCCAAGTTCTGGGTTCAGTCACCCACCTGTCGTGGGCCTGCACGTTGCTGTGCTGTGAGCACAGGCTCTGACGCTGTCTGGGTCAGATCCCAGCCCAGACACTTCTTTCAGTTTCTCCATCTGCCTGTGGGGATGACAGTATCTTTTCATTAAGATTTTGCTTATTTATTTTTAGAGAGAGGGAAAGGGAGGGAGAAGGAGAAGAGAAACATTAAAGTGCAAAAGAAACATCCATCAGCTGCCTCTCACGCAACCCCAACCAGGGACCAGCTGGCAACCCAGGAATGTGCCCTGACTGGGAATTGAACAGGCAACCTTTCAGTTTGCAGGCTGGTGCTCAATCCACTGAGCCATACCAGCCGGGGCTCCTTTGTGGAGTTTTGGTAAGAAATTGAGTGAATGCATATCATGTGCTAAGAACAGCATTGAGTAAACATGAGGTGTTATGATGCTATAAGAATAATACACAAAGACTAATACACAATGGTGGCAAAAACTTGGGAAAATCTGTAAGATTCCTACATCCTTTGACTCAGGAATTCCACTTCTAGGAATTTACCCAATTACATAAGTATGGCTTTGTTCATAACTTTTCTAAAAGATTTATTGCAGCGTTTAAAGCAGTAAAAAAGCACACCTAAATACCCAGCTAGAGAGAGCGAGTTGAGTTAAAGCCACTGAATGTGTGTGCAGAGGAGCGTTTATTGGCAGACAGATGCTTATAGACCATTAACTGAAAAAGCAGGTAACATAGTCATGTACACTTACACTCGTTATTAAAAAAAAAGTATGGGCATAGAAAAAGTCTGGAACATTCTCACATAATGTAGGGGACCGGTCTGTTTCAGTCTGGCAAATGTGATTCAGCTCTGGATGGAACACCCGCAGAAGCGGAGTGGTGGGCAGGAGCCAGACCTTCAGACCGAGTTTTCCTGTGGGAACCAGCCTAGAAAATGCATACTGACTGTTACGGCTTGCTCTTGCTAAAACTCCCTCACCCTGGTCTGAAACAACAAATGTGTATCGTATATCTTCAAGGTGGTTTCCAAAGCCTGTGTGAATTCTCCCAAGGTCAGAGCTCATCAGCTCGTCACCACTCCCCTCTGCACGTTATTTTCATTTCCCTGATTGTACCTAAAATGTAGACAACAATATTCTATGTCGTAGATAATAAGTCTTTCTCTGATGCAAGCCCCGAGAAAGACAACAAAAGCCTGTCTAGGCAAGGGTCGGGGCACTCTCCTCTTGAGGGAGTGGCCAAGGCACTCAGACTCTCCCCTTGAGAGAGTAGCCGTGCCGTCCTCTTTTTCTCCACAGGATGGCCATCGCCTGTGCATTTATTCTGGTCTCCAGCCACAGCAGGCGGACTCTGCTGGCCGGAGTCCGCCACAACATAACATCTAGGATTATCTCTGTGTGGAGAATTTATGGTTGAGTCTTACCTTCCTCTTTTATGTGCTTTTACACTATTAGGTGTTATTTAATCATTTAAAAACTCACTTGGGTATTATTGGCAAAGTAGTAACAATAATAACAATGCACCCTATCCATCACGTCTTATGTCTGATAACTCAGTCCAGCTTCCCCTTAACAGTTATTATTTTCTTGAAGGAGTGGTGTGGGGAAACCAGACTTGGCTTCTCACCCTGTCTCTACCCACCTCCACAAAAGCTTTTGCAGGTAATGTCCATTCTGCTTTGTTCTTTAGCTTGACGTACATTTAGTGTGTGTGTCTACCATTTGCTCCCCAGGCCCTGATTTAGGCACCAGCACGAAAAGCTGTGTCAGCTTGGTTCAGACCCTGCCCCCTGCCGCTCCATTGCTTGAAAGCCTGTTCTGCCACTTAACAGCTCTATAATGTGGGTGGGTAACTTAACCGTTCTCACTTGAAAGCAAATATTTGTTGAGCTCCACCTACATGTGAGGCTCTGGAGGTAGAACAATGAACAACAGAAGCACCTGTTCATGAAACTTACATTCTAATGGGGAGAGAGCGATGATAAAGACACATACGCCAGGTTGGGATAAATGCTCTGAAAATACTGCAGGATGAGGAGAATAAAGAACAACAGGCAGATGAGGCGTGAATGTGGGTACGTAAGTTCTAGAAAGAGTAGTCAAAGAATGGATCTCGACTAACGTGCTATTTGAGGAGAGTAAGGCAGCCAGCCTGGAGGAGGTGTTTGGGAAAAGAGTTTCAGGAAGAGGCAGTGGCATGCGGGCCCGGCTTGCACGCGTTCTGATTGTGCCCACCTCCTCCCAACCCTGTGTTTGGTGAGATCAAATCGATAAGTTGAAATCAGCCTTGATGAGAGCACTTGTACACAGAAATCAGCAAATACTATGAATTTTGCCCCCAGAGAGCCACTTGTTAAATGTTTATCAGCACACCACTGGGAAGCACAAGCGGTAAGTGCAAAGGCCCTGAGGTAGGAGCGTGCCTGGTGTGCATGAGGAACATCGAGGCAACCTGGGTGGCCAGACAGAACGAGAGGGAAGTGGAAGAGGTGACGAGGTCGGAGGTAGCTGGGAGCAAGACCAATAAGACTCCACTGGTCATGGGAAGGACAGTGGCCTTTATTCTGAGCAGAATGGAGGCCATTGGAAGGTTTAAAGCCAAAGCGTGGCGCCCCCCGACTTGAGCTTTGAGCAGAACCCCAGGGAGGAATCAGGAAGACGAGCTGGGAGACCAGCAACAAGTTAGATAAGAGACAATGGTGGCTTGGTAGAGGTGGAGGTAGTAATAAAACGAGCACCTCAGTTTATTCATTTTTTCAGATGTCGTGCATATCAAATGACATAACATTTACACACATTGGTCGAGCACACAGGAGGCCACCAGTAAACGATCGCTGTTCTTATTATTGACAGAATGCCGATCCTGGAGTGAGGACGGGGTGCTCCTATCTGGTTAGGAAGGAAAACGACTTTAGCACCAAGTGGTAACTACTATGTTCCAGACAAGTGGGAGCACAGAGGGGAGACACTTGGACCACGTTGGGGGTAGAAA